CGGTTACCGTTTCCCCCTCCCTGGAGCAGATCGCTCCAGCTGTGGAGGCCCCAGGACACTGCACAGCTCTGCAACCTACAGTTTTGGCGGCCTGGGCAGCTACATTACCTCCCCCTGCCCCCAAGGCTTTTGAAGTGGCGACAGGAAACAGCAGCTCTGTTGGCCCCACTCCCTCCAAGGCAGTTTTCTTGGTCTCAGAGTGTGTTAAAACACTACCAGATCCAAAAGGTATCAGGTTTATGGTGGTATAATATCACCTTAGATTTTGGTGACATTAGGAAGAAAAGGAAAAGACAGAAAAAAACATTCAGACCTTTTTCATAGCATCACAAGATTATTCATCAGAAGAGAGTCTTGGTCACCTATTTCAAATTCCCATCTATTGTCTCCTGTTCTCCTCTGTCTCCGATCAGACAATTCAAATGGTAGAGAAGCCCACCACCACCTAGAGAAGCATATGTCTTGTTATGGGATAGATAGTTCTAACTGCTGGAAATATCTGCCTTCTGTGGAGACAAATTCTGCCTTCCAAAGACTTACATCATTTGTATCTATTAAGTCATGTGTGCTGCATGCTCAGTCGCTAAGTTGTGTCTGACTCTTTGTGATCCCGTGGGCTGTAGCCTGCCAGGCTGCTCTGTCCATGGGATATCCCAGGCAAGAGCACTGGAGTGAGTTACACTTCTTCTTGGGATCTTCCCAACCCAGGGCTTGAACGCAGGTCTCATGTGTCTCCTGCATTAGCAAATGGAATTTTTACTACTGAGCCACCTGGGAAGCCTATTGGGTCATTGGAACCAGTGGAAAATATGTCTCCACATTCAACTGCCACGCAGCTTTTCAAATATTTAAAGATAGTCATGATAATAATAACAAAAGCTCTTATCCTTTCCTGAGTGGCAGTACTGTACCAGATATCTTACGTCTGTAAGTGGATGGAGAGAATGTCCTTCAGCTGAACCCCTCAAGAGACAAGCAATAGATGTGTTTGCATGGGAAACTTGATAGCACTTGAGATGGGGAGCCAATGATGAGATTCTGAGATCTCAAAGGCCACACTCTGGACAGAAATATGTTTACTATGGAGAATGGATTCGCTACATGAGTGGATCTCTGTTTCAAGGACTCCAAGTTTGATTTTTTTCAAGTTAAGAATAGGAACTGGGAGAGGATGTCTTGTTCTCATAGAAGAAGGGAAAGGAATGTGAAGACTGTGTCCTGATTGTTGTTCTTGTTCAGTTGCTCAGTCGTATCTGACTCTTTGCGACCCCATGGACTGCAGTACACCAGGCTTCCCTGTCCTTCACTATCTCCCAGACTTTGCTCAAACTCATGTCCATTGAATAGATGATACCATCCAACCATCTCGTCCTCTGTCATCCCCTTCTCCTCCTGCCCTGATCTTTCTCAGAATCAGGATCTTTTCCAATGAGTCAGCTCTTCACGGCAGGTGACCAAAGTATTGGAAGTTCAGCTTCAGCATCAGTCCTTCCAATGAATATTAAAGGTTGATTTCCTTTAGGATTGAGTGGAGTCAATGATCCTGGAGTCAAAGTGTCTGGAGGGATGGAGAAAAGCGAGCCTGCCCGCGGGAAGAATTACCCACCCCATGCCCTGCCCACTACATTGCCACTCATCCCTCTTTTGGCACAGTGGTGGTCTTTGCAGAGAACATCAGTGTAGGGAGGAGACTTACAACATTTTTCTCTGGGAGGTGTGCAGTGTGAATTTCTTCATTCATCTTTGTTGTTGTTGTTTAGTCACTCAGTTGTGTCCAGCTCTTTTGTGACTCCACGGACTGTAGCCTGCCAGTCTCCTCTGTCCAAGGGATTTCCCGGGCAAGAATACTGGAGTGGTTGCCATTTTCTCCTCCAGGGATCTTCCCCTCCCAGGGACTGCAGGCGGATTCTTTACCAAGGAAAACTCAGTCCTCATTCATCTATTGGATCAAATCTCCAGTGAAATCTACTTAACTCACCAATGCTTTCCATGTGAGTAGATTTTGCGGGGAATTCAAAGAGATGCTCATGAGATCTGCCTTCAGAGGCATTTAGACCAGACCCTGGAGAGACTGACATGGGAGCCAGAAGAGAGGGTAAGCCAATCACTATATTATTCGAAAGATGATATTGCTACTTTTTCTATGAGGCTCTTAGGAGTCAGAAAACTTGAGTAACTTTCCCAGAGTGGGACTGAGTCTACTTGGCTTTTCACTATACACCACCTCATCACATGTCCCCTGTTGGCTTACGTTTTCTAAGGTTCACTTTCTAGTGACATTTTCCTCAACATTTTCTCATGACATACTTTCCAGATCTGTTCTTTATGTACTTTCTGGCAAGGAAACTGTTCAGGGTTCCCACTTCCAGTGGCAGTAATGCAGCAATGCATGTTACACATTTATTAATTCAACCCAAGATATTTTTCAACATGTTTGGAGATTTTTTTTTTTTTGCATAAAACAGGTTTTCCCCATCTTTCCTTATTTATACACAACTGATATTTTATAACATATTTTATTATTCTGACTACTTAAGTAATGCATATTTGGAAATTCCCTGGCAGTCCAGTGGTTTAGAACACCATGCTTTCACTGCTAAAGGTGAGGGTTCAGTCCTTGGTCAGGGAACTAAGACCCCACAAGCCAGGTGGCATGGCCAAAAAATTAAAAAAATTAAAAATTAAACAAAATGAAGTCATGAATATTTCTTACAGACAGACAGAATTTTGAAATTATGAAAACATTAAGAAAAACTAGCTCCAACAATTATGGATTAATACTTAACTAATAACAATTAATAATTGTTGATGTTTGGGACACAATCTTTCAGTCTTTTGAATGCATGTATGTACAGTTTTTCTAGTCTGACTCTAAATGCTGTACCTAACATTTACCATGTTTAAGTTGTTTTGATTATTTAGGCTTCTGACTACAATTTATCAAAATAAACTTGAATCCTTATGTTTCCATTTATTTTCTTTGCTAACCTACAACAGAAGCCTATAGCACTGAATCCCTTCATCATCTCTCTTCCAGAGGTTGCGTCTCCCTCTCTCTCATCATGTGACCACATCGCTTCTCAGCTCTCACCTGAACCAGCTATACTTTTGACACAGTTGATTGCTGTTGCCTTGGTCTCAGATCTCTTGATCATGATTCTTTTCTTACTTCATTGGCCACAACTTCTCACTCTCCTTCCCTCTCTTTCTCATCTTCACAAATGCCTCCAGGTTCAATTTGTGATCTCCTCTGTTTTCTTTCACTTCCTTCCCCCTAGGTGAGCTCCTCAAGCCACCCTTCTTGAAATACCATCTATGCACCCATGAATCCTCCATTTACATCTCTACCACCCTTCTACCCTGAATCCTCCCATACTACTCCTCTGCCTGGTTGACATCTCTTGGATGTTGTAGGACATCTCAAATGCCTTATTGAAACGTAGCTGCCTTGTCACCATAATATTCTCTGATGTATAAGTCTCATAATCCTATGTAGAAAGAAAATAATATTTATTTGACCTGGCTTGTTCCATAGGAACCCACCTTAGAAATTTTTCTAGACATCAGACTTCCCATTCAGTTCTCAATAGTGCCCACTTGTTTCCTCTTCCTGAAATTAAGCAGCAGCAGCAGCAGACATGTGTTCAGTTTTTTGACACCTGTGTCATTGTCTGTGATTTCTCAGAGCAAATGGTAAGAACACATCCTCAATTTATTTTGGTAATTCAGTATATAAGTCTTCTGAGCTCATTGAAGGCGACGAGCAGATCATCTCTTAACTCCTAGCCTGCTAGAACATCAGTTGGCAGGAATTTAAGTGGGGGAATAGTGGAGGGTGCAGAAAAAGAGAAAGGGCATTTTCCTTGGCAAATAATAGAAAGCAGAATGAAAGTTTAGTAGCTGTTTTCTGTCATCTGTCCACTTTATACCATCTTCCCTGTGTTATGAGCCAATACTGTCCCTGTTTTTCTTGAGCTTTAAAGAGTTTGTTCTTGTCTTCAGTTTGTTTTGTGAGCCTCAGCTCTGCCTGGGTTTTAGCTTTCCTCATAAAATTCCCTCAAGTTGAGCCATTTTGCATTCAAAATCAATCCTTCGTATTTTTCATCTTTTGTTCATAGTTTTTTACAAAAACGTAAGGTCCTCAGAGAGTTTCCTATATAATCACATTGATAAGTTTGCTGGATAGAAACCAGGATGTCCAGTTAAATTTGAATTTCAGATAAGCAGCAAACAATTTTCAGTATAAATATATCCTATGCAATATTTGGGATGTGCTTGTACTAAAAATCATTGTTTATCTTAAATATCAAATTTAACTGAGCATTCTGTAATTTATTTGCTAAATCTGACAAGTTTGCATGTTGATCTTTTCCTTTGGTTTGCTTCAGTTTTAAACAGTTTCAGCCTTACTTATTCACTTGAATTGCAATAATAGTAAAAGTTTTAGCTTTGGAAAATTTCCATTTCTCTTGAGTTGGGTTTGTACTTTGCTTTATATCATTTAAGGTACCTTATTGTACTAGTCTGCTCAGGCTGCCATAACAAAACACCACAAACTCAGTGACTTAACAGCATTTATTATTTCACAGTTCTGGAGGCTGGAAGTCCATGATCAAGCTACCAGCAAATTCATTCCTGGTGAGAGCTTATTCCCTGGCTTGACTTCTTTCGATGGCCTTTAGTGTGTGCTCTCAAGAAAATTATCCACTTTTTTTCTGGATTGTTTCTAGTTTGCTTTTATAAATTCTCAGGTATATGTCTTCCCTCATGAACTCAAAATTAACATGGTCACTTTCTGGCCACTTTCAGGTCTCTGAAAGAAAGAGTATTAAAGCAGGAGCAACTCACCAGGCAGTAGGCAAAGTACTTTATATGTCATATTTAATCCCTACAAGATCCACAAGAGATAAGGTATTAGTCAGAGTTCTTCAGAAAGAAAGGAACCAATAGAATGTAGATAGATAGATATTATGAGGGATTACCTCACAGAATTATGGAGGCAGAGAGGTCACACACCTGCAGTCAGCAAACTGCAAGCCCAGGTAAGCTGGTGGTGTAATTCCAGTCCATACCCCAAAGCCTGAGAACCAGGGTAGCCAGTGCTGGAAGTCCTAGTCTGAATCTGAAGGTCTGAGAACCAGGATTGCCATATCCAAGCACAAGAGAACATGAATTTACCAGCCCAACCAGAGTGGAAAGTCACCCATTCCTCTGCCTTTATGTTCTGTTTGGGGCCACATCAGTCTACTGATTCAAAGCAAATCCAAAGAAAATCTCTTCACAGTACCTTCACAGACACACCCAGAAATAATGTTTTACCAGCTATCTGGGCATCCCTTCACTCAGTCAAATTGACACGTAAAATTCACCTACACAGTGTCTTCATTTGAGTTCTCCTATAGACAGACTCTAATTTTGCCTTAGATGTAGATGCAGGAAGTTCATATAGGAAGTGATCCATGATGCACAAGAGAAGTACTGGAAAAGCAATTCAAGAAAAGGAGAAAAGCTAGTGAAGGGTATGGAGTGAGTGGGGTCCCTCTGTGGGCATCTGGGCTCAGTCCCAGTGGGGACTCTCTGAGGAACAGTGTGGAATAGGCTTCAGAATTGTTCCCCTAGAAAGCCTGCAGGTTGGGGCATTTATCCTCTGCCTCCTACCTTCCTTCATTGTTTAAGGGCGGCCCTCAGGCACTAACTTTCCTTGAGGCCAGAATGCTCCAGTGGCTCCTGAGAAAGCCTTCAGTTACAGCCAGACTCTGTCCAGGCTGTCAGAGCCCTTCTTGAGAGCACTGTTTCCCTATCTAGGGTGCCTTCCTGGTGCTTTAGGTAGGAAGCATGCCATCTCTAGAAGCAAAAGGAGAATTGGGACAACAGGATATGAAAGTACGGTGGATCCTAACAGTCCCTGCTATAAGTTGTTGTTGTTGTTGTTCTGTTGCTAAGTTGTGTCCAACTCTTGTGATCCCATGGACATCAGCATGCCAGGCTTACCTGTCCTTCACTATATCCAGTCAGTAATGCTATCCAACCATCTTATTGTCTGCTGCCCCCTTCTCATTTTGCTTTCAATCTTTCCCAGCATCCGGGTCTTTTCCAATGAGTCAGCTCCTTGTATCTGGTGGCCAACGCATTGGAGCTTCAGCAACAGTCCTTTCAATGAATGTTCAGAGTTAATTTCCTTTAGGATTGACTAGTGTGATTTCCTTGCCACACAAGGGATTCTCAAGAGTCTTCTCCAATTAATGTCTCCACCATGCTTTGGGTTTCCTCATGGAACTTACTCTCTAACAGTTTAGAAGTGTTAAATAATTAATCTTAGGTCACGAAAGTAATGAGTGATAAAGCTGAAATTCCAACACAGGTCAGTCTGATTCCACTTCACCATTCAACCTTTCTTCTATTAACTTATATCTGTTATTAGATTTTGGAGTTATAAGGACACTAGAGGTCACTAAATTGGCTATCTGACTTTATAAATAGGAATTGAGACCAAGAGAATGTATGTGCCTATATAGCAAGTTTACTTGACATATGTGAAAGAGAACAGGGACTAAAACTCAGATCTTCTGATCGCCATTCTAGTATCAAGTTTAAGTATAATCCTTTATTATGTCCCCTAGAAACTCTCCTTTTAATTTCCATTTTTTAACAGCTTTATTAAAGCTAAATTGTATAAATAAACTACAGAAGTACAGCTTGATATTTTCACACACCATGTATACCCATGATCAATAAACAGCAATCAACATAATGAACATATTATACACCCCCTAAAGTTTCCTCCTGTTATCTCTTTCCTCCCCAATATCCCTAATCATCTTCAATTTCCAACAAATAGCAATATGCTTTCTGTCAATAGAGATTAACCTAAATAAATGAAATCATACAGTATACTCTAATATTGCCTGGTCTCCTTCAATCAGTATAGTTATTTTGATATTGAACAGACTACTCAACAAAAATACACATGTTGTGTATCATTTTTGTTGAATAGTCTGTTCAATATTTTTGCCCATTTCTAAAATTGAGAACCAATTCCATAACTGACACAATCATTTTGCTGTTTGTTTTTTGTTGAATCTACTTCATTTTGTTGATCTTTACTTTTTTTCTGGATTCATTTGTAATAAATGATTTTTTTAATGATTTCATTATATCTCCTCTGTTGGCATATTAGTTACACTTCGTTTCATTATTTTAACTAGCACTTTAGGGTTTATTATATATGTCATCTTCTTCTAAGTGATATTCTGCCACTCATGTAAAAAACTTAAAATAGCATTTTTCTATTTCTCTCCTCCTGACATTTATGTTATAAATGTTATGCATTTTATATTTATATTTATCTTAAAACCCAACATTCAATTACCTTGTATAGAGATTCAAATGAGTAAAAATCATGTATGTTTAACAAGTAGTAATCATTTCTAGTGTTCTTTATTTCATTATGTAGGTTCATATTTCTATATAGCAACATTTCCTTCTACCTAAAAGACTTTTATGTAGGTGTGCTGTTTATATATTTCTGAAAATGTCATTTTACTTTTGCTTTTTGAAGACATTTTTGCTGGCTATAGAATTCTAGGTTGGCAGCTTTATCTTTCATGCATTAGAATTATTGCTCCAATATAAATACATACTGTCTTCTCACTTCTCTTTAATGTGAAGTATACTTTCATCCATATTTGTTTCTCAATACAATTTTTGTTTTATTACTAGATTTGAGCAATTTTATTGTGAAGTACCTTGTTGTATTTAACTTGGTATTCTTGTCTTTAGGATTCATGGAGCTTCATGAACTTGTGGCTTTATGGGTTTATAAAATTTGGAAAACTTTCAACCATTATTTCTTCAAATATTTTTCTGTAGTCTCCACTCTTCTCTCCTCTGAAGATTCGAATGACATGAAGCCTCTTGAAGTTTTCCCACAGCTCAATGATGCTCTGATCACTTTTTAAAATGTTCTTTTCCTCTGTTTTTATTACTATATCATCAAATTTGCTAATCTTTTCTTCTCTGATGTCTGCCACAAACCCCACCCACTGCAGTTTTAAATCTTATACTTTATAATAGTCATCTTTGGAAGTTGAGTTGGGTTTTTTTTTATATCTTCTTGTCTCTATTTAGCTTTTTAATCATATAGAATAAATATTTAATAACTATTTTAATATTCTTATCCACTTATTATAAATATCTGTGTCAGTTCTGAGTTAGTTTTAATTGAGTGACTGATTTCCTCATTTTTCATAAATTATATTTTTCTGCTTCTTTGCATGCCTGGTAGTTTTTCACTTGATTCCAGACAATAAATTTTGCCTTTTTGAGTGCTCAATATTTTGCATTCCTAAAATATTCTCGAGTTTTGTTCTGGAATGCAGCTAAACTGCTTGCCAACAGCTTCGTACTGTCAGCTCTTGCAGTGAAGATTTTGTTAGGTGGGACTGGAATAGTGCTCAGTGTGTAGTTTATTATTCCTCACTACTGAGATAAGACCTTTCTTTGTACTCAACCCAGTATTCTGTGAACCTTGAGGTTTTCCCACCTGACTGGTGAGACCAACCTGTTTCCATCCTGTGTGAGCACAGAGCTCTGTTTCCTTTAATCCAACAGTTCTCAACTAAGGAAATTTTGCTTTACGTGGGACATTTGCCTTGCAAGGTCTAGAGACATTTTTGGTTGTCACAAGAAACTGGAGGGGAGGTGGGTGCTATTAGATCTAGTGAGTAGAGGCCAAGGGTGCTGCTAAACATTCTGCAAAACACAGGATGCATCCACAACAAAGACTTATTATGCAAAATGTCAATGGCACTGGAATTGAGAAATCATGCTCTAATCCTTTCAGGTGACTCACACCAGTCTTCTAGAATTCCTTCACATGCCTGTGCTAATCACTGTTCTCAAAGGGGACCCTCTGTAGACTCTGGAGTTCTTCTCTGCAAAGCTCTCTCCTTTCCTATACACCAAGTGTGGGCCTACATGCTCAGCTGTGTCCAACTCTTTGTAACCCTATGGACTGTAGCCCACCTGGCTCCTCTGTCCATAGGATTTTCCAGGCAAGAATACTGGAGTGGGTTACCATTTCCTCCTCCAAGGGATCGTCGAGACACAGGGATCAAACCTGTGACTCCTGTGTCTCCTGCATTGCAGGTGGATTCTTTACCACTGAGCAATCAGGGAAGTCTATACACTATAACTACCTTATTCTGCCCAGGTAGCTTTAGTTTATAGGAGACTTGGTTTGTCTCTTTAATGCAGGAAGCCTTCTGGATCTGCCTTGGTTCCTTCTCCCTGGACCAAGGTTTAGAAACTTGCTCAAGGCAGTAAGATGGGGAGAACTTAGGCTCACTATTGATTTCTCATCTGTCAGGATCACTGTCCTTTGTTGCCTGATGGCCAGTGTCTCACAAACTGTTGTTTCATATATTTTGTTCATTTTTGTTGTCATTTCTGGTGGGAAAGTAAATCCCTATTACTCCTTCTTGGCCATAAGCTCAAGTCCTCTTTAAATGTAGTTCACCTTTTGGCTTACAAGTATGCTATAGAGGATTGGTTACTGTGGAAGTACATAGTAATCTGACTATATGTGTGCCCAAGAGCACCTGTATGTGCACCATATACTGATACACAGACCCTGCACTAATAAGATATGAGCTCACCTTCCTCTGCACTGTTCTTTCTGCTTCTGGGATTCTTTGATGGGTCCTGAATTTTTAAAGTAGTTTACCCAACAAGTACTTTAAAATTTCAAAAAGTAAAATGCCCTTGGCCTAAGAATTCATATTCCAGTTGTAAGTTTTATTTGATGGTAAATGGCTGAAATAGATGCCCTGGAGAGAACTGGTCCTTTTGGCAGCACTGGCCTTAGGCAAAATTGTTAAGTAGGTGAACTATTATCTTCAGGGAGCTCCCAAATTCTCCTGCTTACCCTCCCCTATTCCAGAGCCCTTGAGTTCTCTCCTCTAATGCCAGAGCATGTGCTGATTTCAATTTTTTTAAACATTTGGTTGTCAGGGATTGATAACTTTTCACTCTTCTACAGGTTGATAAATTTTCACTCTTCTACAGATATTTGCATTTCATAGACAGCAAACCTTTAAGGCAGCTAGCTATAATTGATTGTAACTCCTTTGATTGGAAACAGCTGCTTATAGATAACACTGTGTTGAGAAGGTGACTCAGCGGAAGAGAACAAAGATTGATTAGTGATGTCTGCACATACAAACATAGGAGGTAAGAAATTTCCCATCCCTTCCCTAATGTAGAAGTGTTCATTCTACTGGAAAATTTCCAAGCACTAGAAATCGAGTATAAGAAAGACTTCAGAGAACAATGGAAACTCATTAATGACCTTGCAATCAGCCCAAATAGGGCTGTTGTATGGCATCACATAAAAAGTTGAGGTTGCTTTTTCTAAGTGTAACAAGAATCTAGTGAAATATCATAAATAGAATATAATGCCATGGAGATCTTTTATACTGATCCTTCAGACCTTAGAGACTATTCCTTTTTGTTCACACTTTACCTTTTAACCATCTTCTTTAGGGTTCATAGAGTAACCCATGCAAAGTAAGCATTTCCAGAACTAGTAAAGTATTTCTCTCACACATTACTGCCTTAATGAATTGAAAGATCCTCTAAAGCCCCAGATGTTTCACTTATTTATTTCTAAGTTATTTGGTGCCATATAAAATAGCAAACACCTTCTAAAGTAGAGAGGAATTCACTTATTTCTGTTTATCTTTCCATAACATGAAGAAATGAGGTACATACTGTCATCAATGATACAGAGTTTTATGGAAAAAAATAAATATACTAGATTAATCTTTTTAAAAGTTTCCTGTGAAGGTAAAGTTTGGAAAGGAAATTGGCAGAGTGCTTACTAGTACATACCAGGCACTGTGCTCCATTCTTATATATATTGTCTCATTAATCCTGGTGGTTCAGTGGTTAAGAATCCATCTGCCAATGCAGGAGACAGAGGTTCAATCCATGGTTCAGGAAGACCCCGCGGAGAAGGAAATGGCAACCCACTCCAGTATTCTTGCCTGGGAAATCCCATGAACAGAGGGACCTGGTGGGCTATATATAGTCTATGGGGTTGTGAAAGAGTCAGACACAACTTAGTGACTAAACAACAACAAGACAGAATCATAGTATCATCCCACCACTACATGCCATCTGAATGTCTCAACATCCCACTGACCTACAAGTGTATGAATAAGACCATGATGATATTAATACCTATATGGTGTTGGTTCAGAGGCTCCATCTGCAGTTTGAGGTCCTCAGTGCTTTTTTAAACTGGCCTTTGGGGGTTTCTGGAAGCATCTCTTCACCACGGTCATGATTAGGCACCTCATGTACTCTTGCTTCAGCATCCAGAGAGGTACCCTCTGCCAGCCAGCCCCCTGGGGATGGCCTTGTGCCATTGCTCTGCTCTCATGGCCTTTCTTGGGAATGTGGTTTCTCTGCCTAAAATGCCTTTCCTGGTGCTCTCACATCACATACCCCCAGTCACTAAATGATACCAGATTTCCTTCAGTCTTCCACCCTGCTGAAGACCCATGCACCCTTGCAAGAATGGAAGGAATATTTTTCTCCTCAACTTCCAATAGGCATTTTGTGCTTCACTCTCTGAACTACACAGCTTGTTCTCCAAGTAAAAAAAAAAAAAAATTCTCTTTGAAAACAACTCCCTCAGCTTCTGCCTACAGTTGCTCAGGGTCCCCTGTCGCTCTTTCTTTAAATCCTGTCACTCAAGGCAATTCAAAGTTCCCAGGGTTAGGCTTCATGGCATCTTATGCAATACATACCTCAGCAAGATCTGAGCTGTTAGGAGTTGAGGCTGGAAAGAAACTTCCATCAAGACTGTGACTGTTGCTTTTCTAGAGGCTGCACCTTTGCATTTGTAAGCTGGGTTGTCGCCTGTGAATATAGCATTGGAGTTGTGGCATTGTCCTTCACTGAGGTGGTGGTGGTTGTTGTTGTTTAGTTGCTAAGTCATGTCCAACTCTTTGCGACCCCATGGACTACAGCACACCAGGCTTCCCTGTCCTTCATGTCTCCCGGAATTTGCTCAAACTCATATCCATTGAGTTGATGATGCCATCCAATCATCTCATCCTCTGTCTCCCTCTTCTCCTGCCCTCAATTGGTCACACTTCTGGAAGCTCTATTCACTGCCAACAAGGTGGGCTTTCATGATCTCCTCTCTGCAAAACCAGTACCCATGCAGTGATGGCTCACCACACCCACGGAACTCCTCTCTTCCCAGGACACAGATTTCTTCTCACCCAGAACTGTTATGAATCTGTGTTCACGGACATGTTCACACTGGATGTCAGCAGCCAGTGAGCTTGACTTTTGCATTCAACCCACAGAGAGAGAAGAAAGCTCAGAGAGAATGTTTTATATCCCCAAAATAAAAAAAATTCTGATTCAATAGAGTTGGAAAAAATCCACACATCCATTGCATGATTTTCTAAAACTTCATAGTGGGTATGTCAAGAGTTTGATAATTTTTCAGATATGTTGGTGGAACTCTTTGAATATACTCTTCAAGGTAATAATTAATTCCCTACAGAGGGCACTCATTTAAAAAAGTCATGCTACTGAAGAGGAAAGAAAATAATAAAAAGCCAGGAAATCACCACATAAGCTAGCTGACAGTTAAATCTTTTGAAAGTTTGTACAAGAAAATGAGGGCTTTGCGTGTAGGTCACTGATTAAGAATTTGATCTGCTAGAGAAGAGTCAGATACCTTGAAGTCCCACTGAAATATGTCCCGGGTGATTATCATGCAGTGCCTATGTTAGAAAGAGATCTGTTCCCCTCACCTGTAGAGAAACATTCTCGCACAAACAGGAGTACAAAATGGCCACTGAAGTTGTCAAATGTAACATGAGGAACCATCAGAATCTCTGGGACCATCAGATTCTTCTCCTTCCTCCTCTCCACCTCCTCACACTCTTCTTACTTGTGGCTTAAAAAAATACGATATCCTGATGCTCCTGCTAATATGCTTATAAAGACACACTTCAAGTGTGGTTCTCAGGGAGCAGTTTGTGGGAGACTAACAGATACCCTTTCTCTTCTCTGCTCAGATGGTACTCCTTCCTGCATTCTCAGAGTAAGAGAGATGTGCTTTTTTCCTCTGCAGTTTCACTTTACAGAGAAATAAAAAGAGCCAATTTTGTCTTGGGTCTTAAAGAGTGAATGGCCCTGTAATTTTGAAGTTGGTGACTTTTTTCCTTTGGCTCTACCAGCCATTATTGGAACAGGATAAGTTCTTTTCATTTTTCATTCTTCCTACTTTAGAAGTTAGGGACTTCCTCGGTCACTAATATAACCAACTCTGTCTTCTCTTTTAGCTTCATTCCTAGCTCTGTTGAAACTTCAGGATTTATACCAATATTACAGACAGAGAGGATAACTGTGTGAAGGATTAAGGATCTGCCTTCCTCCTTGAAAGGATGGAAGGAAGTGTATGTGGGTGAATATATGGATAAGTTTGAACCCCAGAGTGAAGATAGGTTCTCAATTGCTACAGTTTGTGCCAATGAAGATTTTTTAAATATAATTTTTGTCTTGTCTTTTATATCTTGTTTTCTGCTTTTACCTTATGGTGATTAATTGGATTTATTGCCCCTTTATTTTGATCATATATCATTTCAAATCCATGGGGTGGGATAAAGCAAGTGGCTCAGATGGTGAAGAATCTGCCTGCAATGCAGGAGACCTGGGTTTGATCCCTGGGTCGGGAAGATCCCCTGGAAAAGGGAATGGCAACCCACTCCAGTATTCTTGCCTGGAGAATCCCATGGACAGAGGAGTCTGGTGGGCTACTGTCCACCGAGAAGCACATAGTTGGACATAGCTGAAGCAACTTAGCGTGGCACCATCTCTGTAATAAGAAGTCTGGCCAGAAAGGGGCTCCTTGGTTGGCATAATTGGAAGCTCAATAAATTCAGTGATACAGATTCTTCTCTCTGATAAAGTTCTTCCCTATCATATCCTCAGCTTTGACTTGACTTTAAAACTAATTTCCCACATTGTCATCAAATAGCTGTAGCAGCTTGGAGACAGGAAAAGGACCAAAGTCTTCTGATGTCTTCTTAAGAGTGAGGCAAGCTCTCCCTGGGATTCCCAGGAAATCTCACCTTCCGTCTCATTCATGAGACTTGACTTGGGTCACGGCCCACCCTCAAACTGGGATTACCTTGAGATCCTGGAACTATGCACAGTTCACCCCAAGCTGAGGATTGGGCCATCAATGCTGAAAGCTGGTGTCTCAAAACTGTCAGGCTTCCACTAACAAGGCTGATGTGAGAAATGGACAGAGCAAAGACAACAAAGTACATCTGCTGTGCATGGACATTAGGAAAGAAATCAAGCCAAACAAAATCTAAGTAAATTCTCCCATCTATCACCGGTGCTTCCTCTCCCCAAAGGTAGCCAACTTAGCAGTTTCTTGCATATCTATCTTTCATGAAAAATCTTAATTTATATAATGTGCTCAGTCTCTCAGTTGTGTCTGACTCCTTGTGACCCCATTGACTGTGGCCAGCCAGACTCCTCTGTCCGTGGAATTTCCCAGGCAAGAGTACTGTAGTGGGTTGCCATTTCCTTTTCCAAGGGATCTTTCCGACCCAGGGATCAAACACACCTCTTTTGTGTCTCCTGCAAACCCCAATTTATATAATAAATTTATATAATAAAATTGTTTATATAATAAGGAAAATCTTTATAATCCCCATACATATGCAACTACCATTAAGTATGTACATAAGTGAAATCCTACTTACACAGGTTTAAATATCTCTAAGATCTTTCATATCAGTCCACACAGATTTGCAATATATTATTAATGTGTTGTAATATTTCATCATATGATTTAATCCTGATTTACTTAGTCAATCCCCTATAATGGATACTTAGATCATTTCCAGGTTTTGTTGCTAAAATTTTTAATATTAAAGAAGATGCTTTATTGGGCCTTGCTAGACAATTAACTAGTTTTATTTTGAAAATATAATCACCATATGAATTTCTTATGGTGGAACTGCTTGGTCATTTAAATTTTTAATCTATATTTCTAACTTGCTCTTCAAAAAGGAGGCATTCATTTATATTCACTCCAACAGTACAGGAAGGTGTTTATTTGCCACAGTCTCGTCAACCCTGGATATGATCATATTTAGTTTCTCTCAATATTTTAGATGAAAATTGTATCTTCCTAGAATTGTACTAATTTTAAGTAATTTCATGTCTGCTCCTCTCACTTCTCTCTACTGACTTCGATAGTTTTCCTTTGCTCTTATGCCTAGGTTTGCAGTTTTAATGTGGTCTGTGTGCAGCTGCATGACTGGCCCCTGCTTAGAACTCCAGGGTCCTTTCATCTGCTTTCTCACAAGTTCTCCACATTCCAAGCCACAGGCCTCCTCTATGTGAGTTGGAGGACATGATCCTTTTACCCTTTGAGGTCTTGGCTCATGGTGATTTCTTTGCCTGAAACACTAACCTCTCCTCCTGACCCCACTCACACCTATTCAGTCCTAGCTGTCTATATCTGTGCCACATGCTCACTCATGTCTAATTCTTTGTGACCTCATCAGCTGTAACCTATCAAGCTTCTCTGTCCATGGGACTCTCCGAGGCAAGAATACTGGAGTGGGTTGCCATTTTGCTGCCTACCTTCAACTCATTCTGAACATTTCACCCCTGATGCCACCTCTTCAGGGAGGGCTTACCCAGATACCTAGTCTAATTAGGTTCTCCTTGTTATATGTTCTCTTTATACTTAATAGTGCATAGTCATTGCCCTAAATAACTATACAGTATAATGTTTATGCATTGGAGAAGGAAATGGCAACCCATTCCAGTGTTCTTGCCTGGAGAATCCCAGGGACAGGGGAGCCTGGCGGGCTGCTATCTATAGGGTCGCACAGAGTTGGACACGACTGAAGCGACTTAGCAGCAGAAGCACGTTTATGCAGTTATCTTTTAAAATGTCTGTCTCCCTCACTAGACCACAGTCTCCAAGAAGCACATCTGTCCTGTGGGGCTGCTGCATTCTCCATGCCCAGCACAGTACCAGGCATACACACATCCTGAAACATGGACCATCAAGTGAGAACAGTGAGGGGACGAGGACTGAAGGAAGCTCAAAAGACTTGGGGAAAAATCTGCTAGAATCTATATGCAAGTGCTAAGGAAATGTTTCCATCAGAAACTCCTCTTAAAACTTTCTGTGAGCTGGACCTTCATTGAGTGCCTTTGGGTCTATAGTGACTCTGGATATATATAGTGACTCTGGCTCTGCTAGCTGCTCGGTCATGTCCGACTCTCTGGGACCCCACAGACTGTAGCCTGCCAGGGTCCCCTGTTCATGGGATTTCCCAGGCAGGAGTACTGGAGTGGCTAGCCATTCCCTTCTCCTGGGGTTCTTCCCAACCCGGGGATCGAACCCAGGTCTCCTGCATGGCAGGCAGATTCTTTACCATCTGAGCCAGCAGGGATGAGGACAAATCTGAGTCCAGAAGAACTACCCAGGCTAGGAGACTACAGCATAAAGTAGGTGTTAATTGTTGTTTACTAGCAAGTTGAAAAGAGGTGTCATTTTATTGTATAATTCAAATTAGCTTCCATCGTTTCAACTCCATTCTGCAGGAGGAAGCAAAAGCTTATTTTTGCCCAATTTGTGTTCTCATCTCCTTTCAGGAGTTTGCTGAGCTCCAAGTGGGCTTTCCTTGTAGCTTAGTTGGTAAAGAATCCGCCTGCAATGCAGGAGACCTGGGTTTGATTCCCGGGTCGGGAAGATCCCCTGGAGAAGGAACTGGCAACCCACTCCAGTATTTTTGCCTGGAGAATCCCCACGGACAGAGCAGCCTGGCAGGCTACAGTTCATAGCGTCGCAAGAGTTGGACATAGCTTAGCGATTAAACCACCAAGGGGCTTGTGGGGATGGACTCATGGGGTTCTTGAGACATCTGCCCCCTTTCTCATTTGATTATGAGCACCACAGTGATCATCACTATCACATCCCATTACCACTGGCAGCCCCTCTTCTNTGGGGATGGACTCATGGGGTTCTTGAGACATCTGCCCCCTTTCTCATTTGATTATGAGCACCACAGTGATCATCACTATCACATCCCATTACCACTGGCAGCCCCTCTTCTAGCCGGGCAACGACTACCAAGAATATCTTGCCTAATGGCAGAGCGCAGAAATGCCCTCAGGGCTCTTTATGGCCCCAACCAACCTAGAGCTGGCAGGCAGCCACTCCCTCTCTAGGCTCTTGCAGAGTCCAATGTGGGGTGCGGTCTGCCAGGAAGGAGGGTGTGGAGTTTCTCTGCCCTCCTGGTGCCCACACTGGCCAAGCCCCTCTCTCTGATATCCATCGAGCTCTCTGTTCCCCTCCAGCTTTCCTCCTTTCCACAGACTGAAGAAGTCTTTTTCTCAACCCAAAGGAAAATACCTGTTTTTCTAAATCTGATGCTTTACCACTGTCTCGATCTTCTAAATTCTCCAAGAGTTTTGGCTTTTTGAATTAAAAAAAAAAAAAAGCCAGAAACTCGGTGTCTTCTTTCTTCTTTATACCCCGTCATAACCTTCCTCTGAGACCATGAACTCAGGCCAATAACCTGCTGGACAGCGGTGTGAGGGCAGTCTGGGGAGGGAAAGAGGGAGCTTGGGGGAAAAAGGAAATAAAACAAAACACTGGCTACTCTTTCAAAAATATTATCCTGTCTTCCATTTCCAGGAGGCGGCAATTAACACACTAAATGCAGCAGAGAAGCTGAGAAGAGCGTACTTAAAGATCTTCAGGTTTCTTTCCATTAGTGAATGACAGAAACAACAAAAAAACACCTTTTATGGTGGATGGATAAATGTGGAAGCCAGATTGATAGAGGTTAAAGGGGTCAAAGAGATTCTTCTTTCACACACCCTAACTCTCCTTTGTAATCTATTTCATTCGGTTTCACTTCCATGAAGATGAAAAAGACAGTACAAAGCAATGTTTCTTTGCTTGTTTCTGCCAATTTTCTGTAGAATAAAAGATAACAACATTCAAACAATATCGAGGCCAAAAAAGAGGATACAAATCCTGCATGGAAAAGAGTACAAATTATTCAGAGTGGTGGTTCGGTGGTAAAGAAGCTACTTGCCAATGCAAAAGACCAGCGTTCGATCCCTGGGTCAGGAAGATTCCCTGGAGAAGAAAATGGCAAACCACTCCAGTTTCCTTGCCTGGGGAATCCCATCAAGAGGGAAGCCTGGTGGGCTACAGTCCACAGGGTCATAAAGAGTTAGACATGACCAAGCAACTGAAGAACAGCAATTGTTCAGTACAATCACATATAAAAATATATTTAGCAATTAAAAAATATGGTTAATTGATCCAGTGAGAACTATGGTTCTTCTGAAGTCATTAAAAATGCATCACATAAATGAGCCTTTAATCAAACTTTTTAAAAAGGCATCTTTCACCACATAGCCCAAGAAATCACTGAAAGTTTTTGTTTCTAAAGTACACACCAAGCATGTGTAGCATTTTTACTTGAATTTAGCAAACATTTATTAAATGTTTAAGCTTCTATTATATACTGTGTGTAATATTTTCACATTGTTGTCTCATTTAGTCTCTGCCATAATCCAGTAAAGATGGTATTATTATTCCCACTTTTTAGGGGGAGACCCTGAGGCTTAGAGAGTTTAAGGAATTTGCCCAAATCACATAGATAAAAAGCAGTGAACCACTATTCAACATTGGGTTTTCTATCTCCAATTTCAGAGTACATTCCACCATACTATTCATACAATATCAGTAATGTGGTGGTCTGTGAAAGCAGGATTTCAGGTGAGTCTATTTTAAAAAAAAAATCAAAGTAAAGAACAGAGTAAGGGACGACTGCTTGATAAAGACCTTTGAGAGTTTAAGGAGAAAGAGAATTTGAGCGTAGCTTCAGAATGAAGGGACTTGAGGAGGTCTTTATCAAAGGCAGTGGTTCTCAAATCACCCACCACAACCACCTGGAGGGCTGGTAATAAATAGGACTGTAGGACTCCACTCATGAATTCTGAGCAAAGATCTAGAGGTAAGATCAAGAATTTGCATCTCTAAGCAGTTTCCAGATGACGCAATGCTTCTGGTTAAGAGACTAGAGAAACACTGTTTTGAAAAATGAAACATTTGCCTGTTTGAAAAGAAGAATGAAGCGGTGAGTCAATATAGAGAAATGGACTAAAGATGCTGAGGAGTATCCTAGAGAGCAGAGGTGGTGGGAGAGGACAGAACAGTTTCAGTTGAGGACACCAGCTTAAAAATGAGGACTAAGACCCATTCATCTGAGAAAGAAGAGAAAAGCAAAGATGAATGTTGAGTCAGAAGGGCTGGAGAGGAGAGGGGATGTAGATGCTCACTCAATTTGTATTGTGGGTTCATTGATTGTTTTTAAGTGTTGATATCAGGAAAGGTAGGACTTCCCAGGTGGCACTAGTGGTAAAGAACCTGCCTGCCAATAGAGGGGACCCAATCCCTGGGTCGGGAAGATCCCCTGGAGGAGGGCATGGCAGCTGATTCCAGTAATCCTGCCTGGAGAATCCCATGGACAGAGGAGCCTGGCAGGCTACAGTTCATAGGGTCGCACAGAGTCAGACACAACTGAAGTGACTTAGCACATAGCAGGAAAGGTAAAATTGTCTCCCTAGGTGGGTAGAATTCCTCCACAGAGTGGGGAGGGCTCAGAAATGAAAAGAGTGGATGTGTGCTGGGAATCTGCAGGGGCTGAAGTTTAGGGAAACATCCCAGGGGCCTCCTCTCCTTGAGCTCGCACGGACCTGGCTGCATCCTGAGAGAATAGGGTGCATGATTTACTACACTTATTTTACCATAGGGTGTGAGTGGTTCATTCTGTGAATCAGCGTGACTGCCTAAGAGGTAGCTGATAATAACGATTTGTCTGTGATGGCGTTTCCGGAAGAGAGCAGCGTTTGATTCAGTAGACTGAGTAAAGAGACGCGCCCTCAGTGATGTGGGTGGGCATCATCCAATCCATCGAGGGCCCGAATGGAGCGAAAAAGCAAAGGAAGAAAAAATTCTCTCTCGCTTCTTGACCCGGAGCGTCTGTCTTTTCCTGCCCTCTGTGATTGGAGCTTCTGGTTCTCCGGTATTTGAACTAGCACTGAATTATATCATAGGCTTTCCTGGTTCTCCAGCCTGCAGATGCCAGATCGTGGTACTTCTTGTCCTCCATAACTGCCTCAGCCAGTTCCTATGATTAAAATATCCCACTGGGTCTGTGTGTCTGGAGAACCCTGACTAATATATAGAAATCATCTTCACTGACACTGATTTCAGGTATATGTTCGGCCATTTCTTTTTCACTCACCCATTAAAAATGAGATCAGGGAACATCACTTACAAATGAGATTAACTCACTTTAAACAGTAGACATAGGAAAAAGGGAACGTCTAAACCAATGCTTTTTATCATCACTTACACATGTGCATCTGCAAACACAAAACCCAGGCTCACAGCCCAGTCTGACATAGAAGCTGTGTGTGCAGTGATCATCAGTGTGTGAGAGGTCAGGCTTCCCGGGGTGGGAAGGTGAGGGGCAGAGGAGTGATGTTCGTTAAGCAGCTTCATCTCTATGACAATGCACTTACCCCTGGAAATTTCCTGTAGTCCTCAGTCACCCACTGTTTGGACCTATTACAGAGATGCTTCCACACGGATGCTCAATAAACATTGGTGAGTGTTATCATTCTACTAGTATTTGGTGAACAACTGCTCAGTTTCAGGAAGAGTTATAAGCCCTGGAACAAAGTATAAGTAAAGTATTGTCCCTGTTTTGGAACAGCCCAATGTCATGGAGGGGACAATACATAAAAGAAATAATTGTAAAACAACACGTGCCTGGCAGGGGAAGGTGACATTTGATTTTGAGGGGAGACGTGAAGAAAGATCAGAAGTTCTGCAGATACATAAAGGAACAGCCTTAGCCATGGGCAAGGAGTTAATGGAATGTTTGAGGATCAGACACATTTATTTCTTGGGGGAGATGGAAAAATCAACCTTTCTTGACCATCTTTGACTTCTAGAATGGTACTGGAAGTCTTGTGTATGTGACCTCACTTATTAAGCACAACAACCTCGTGAATCCATCTTAAAGAAGGGGAGATTCTGTGTTTAGTCACTCAGTCATGTCCAATGCTGTGAGCCCATGGATTGTAGCCCGCTAGCCTGCTCTGTCTATGGAATTCTCCAGGTGAGAACACTGGAGTGGGTTGCTATGCCCTCCTCCAGGGGATCTTTCCCACCTAGAGATCGAACTTGGGTCTTCTGCATTGTGGGTGGACACTTTACTGCCTGAGTCATCAAGAAAGCCCAAAGATTCTAAGATGTTCCAAAGGTATAGGAAGTCAGAGGAGCCCAGACCTGGAACAGAAGCCTCTAACAGCTTCTCTGGAAGAAAAGCTAAGAAGTATACCCAAGTGTCTTATCTTTCTGTGCTTTCATTTCTTTATCTGACAATTGAGAAACCAAAATTTGCCTTGAAGTGTTGTTGTGACTTTGGCTCCCTCATAAAGTGTCTCGTCCCTTCTCCCGCACCCTGTTATGCTCAGGGAATAGGAGCTATGTCTTCTCTTTCTTCTCTTCTCCTCCTTCTCCTTCCTCTTATTCCTCTTCCTCTCCTACTTCCTCTCCTCCTTCCTCCTCCTCTCCCTTTCCTTCTCTTCATCTTGTTCCTCCTCCTCCTTCTCCTTTTCCTTCTTCTTCTTCCTTTTCCTTCTCCCTCTTCTTCTATTGCTGTAAACTTGTCAAAGGTGATGCAGTTAAGATGAGAGCTGTGATTCAGACCAAAGTTCCTTTAGACTCTAGATACCCTGCCTGCCCAAAGCGTGTGTTTGTTCCTGCTCTGCTCTTCAGCTGTCTGTTTAAAGAATAAATGAGTATAACACTTGTCACTGACCTTATCCCCTGGTGGGAGGCATCATGATTTACTAGAAAGGGAATGAGTTTGGAAATGTGACAGATCTAGAGTTGAGTCACCATTTCATCACTTACAAGTTGTTAAGTTGTGTGACTTTGGGCAAATGTGGACAAATACCCCCCACCCCATCTTTTTGCTTATCTGCAGAATGGCAGGTAGCCTGGCAGACTTGGGGCAAAAACAACTGAGGTCACACCCGTGCAGAATCTGGCTCGGCAAATGAAAAAGTCCTCTTGTCTTCACTAGGTTCATCCAGAAACTTCTACTCTGGCTTTTTCTGAACCCTCCTTACAGGAAGTGGACTGTACTCCGAAGGAAGGTTCCAGTTCAATCATGGTTAGAAATGATGCTAACCCATTTGGAGAGTGGTTACATTTTCATTCCTGTGGGATTCTTCGTGTATGTGTCTCAAGGTAGTTGATGAAACAAAGGAGAGCCTCCTTCATCCTTTCTTATGCCTACTGTCAATATTGTTCTAAGATTCAAAAGGGACTAGAGAAGCTTCTAGATAATTGACTTTCATGAACATTATGCTAGTGGCATCAATTCTAAAGGTCTGATTAAGATTGGGCTGCATGTTAAGAGTGGTAAACATTACACCCAGATGGGTACTAGTAATGCCTGCTAGTTATTCCAAAGACTCTAGTCAGTTTCTCCGGTACTCAATAACTTGACTTTATCTTCAGACAAACTGTACATTTACTGATCCTTAGGTAATAGAAATTGAAGAGGATTCAGGACAGCACTATTTTGTCTACTGGACAATTAATGTGTGCTTATATCATCAGTCCCATGAAAGCTGGGGAAGTGTGGAAAGCCTTTGCCCAATAAGAAGAAGCAAAGGGTATCCAATTATATTTCTCTGAATATGCCCAAATGTTTCAAGGAAATGTTCTGACAGGCCATGTACTTCAAGACTTGAGATCATTTGAAATTCTTTAAACTTTCCTCCTTTTCAAGTGAAAATTATCATATATTTATCACCTTATATCTTCTGATAAGTAATGTTCAAATATCAAAACTGAGTTTTGTTTTTTATTCTTAGATAAGAAACTATAGAATAAAAACATAAAGATATCTTTAGT